CAGGTGGGATCCATCCCAGGGTCATGATGAGCTTGTGAAGCCCCTCTCCATCATTTGCCAGCAGTCCTGGCTCACTGGTGAGGTTCCAGATAACTGGAAGGTGGCCAGTGTGACACCCATTCACACAAAGGGTGGGAAGGAGGACCCTGGTAATTATAGGCCAGTCAGCCTGACCTCAGTACCAGGTAAAGTCACAGCACAGTTTATATTGATTGTCATCACACAGCACTTACAGGGTGGGCAGGGTAGCAGACCCAGCCAGCATGGGTTTAGGAGGGGAAGGTCGTGTTTGACCAGCCTGGTCCCTTTTTATGACCAAGTGACCCGCCTGGTGGATGCAGGACAGGCTGTGGATGTTCTCTGTTTGGACTTCAGCAGAGCCTTTGGCACTGTCTCCCACAGCACACTCCTGGAAAAGCTGGCAGCCCATGGCTCAGACAGGAGCACTCTGTGCTGGGTTCAGAACTGGCTGGGTGGCCGGGCCCAGAGGGTGGAGGTGAACGGTGCCACATCCAGCTGGGCCCAGTCAGCAGTGGTGTCCTCAGGGGTCTCTGCTGGGCCAGCTCTGTTCAATATCTTCACTGATGACATGGATGAGGGGATTGAGTCCTTCACTAGTAAGTTTGCAGACAACACTAAGCTGGGATCATGTGTTGATCTGTTGGAGGGTAGGAGGGCTCTGCAGAGAGACCTGGAATGGTTGGATGGATGGGCGGAGTCCAACGGGATGAAGTTTATTAAATCCAAGTGCTGAGTCCTGCATTTTGGCCACAATAACCCCTTGCAGCGTTGCAGGCTGGGGACGGTGTGGCTGGAAAGGGACCTGGGGGCACTGGTGACAGCTGACTGGACATGAGCCAGCAGTGTGCCCTGGTGGCCAAGAAGGCCAAAGGCATCCTGGCCTGTGTCAGGAACAGTGTGGCCAGCAGGAGCAGGGAGGTCATTCTCCCCTGTACTCAGCACTGGTGAGGCCACACCTCGAGAGCTGTGTCCAGCTCTGGGCCCTCAGTTTGGGAAGGACCTTGAGACGCTTGAGCGCATCCAGAGGAGGCAACGAGGCTGGAGAGGGGCTGGGAACACAAACCCTGTGAGGAACGGCTGAGGGAGCTGGGGGTGTTTAGCCTGGAGAAAAGGAGACTCAGGGGTGCCCTTATCACTCTCTGCAACTCTCTGAAAGGTGGCTGTAGTCAGGGGGGTTGGTCTCTTTCTCCAGGGAACAACTGACAGAACCGGAGGACAGTGTCTTAAGCGGCACCAAGGGAAATATAGGAAATATAGGTTGGATATCAGGAAGTTTGCTCTTTATGGAAAGAGGGATAAAATTCTGGAATGGTCTACCTGGGGAGGTGGTGGAGTCACCATCCCTGGATGTGTTTAAGAAAAGACTGGATGTGGCACTCAATGCCATGGTTTAGTTGAGGAGTTAGGGCATGGTTGGACTTAATGGTCTTGATGGTCTCTTCTAACCTAGTCACTCGCTGATTCTCTGATTCTGTGATAGTAAAAGTAGGAGCAAAAGGTATGCTTTTCAGTACTTTTAGTTACATTTCTCTTTTTTAAAAAACCACTCTTAGATCACCAGTGAATTATTTCACACTCATGTGTCTGCTTCATTCATCTTGCCATCTTTAGTTGTAGGCCAGAAAATATTAGATATTTGCAGGTGGAAGCTGCTTTCATGTGCAGTTAGTGGCACTTAAAAACTCTTGGATGCAGGTGAGTATAGTCTGCTAGGGAAAAGATCAACCCTTGGAACTCAGAACTACATGGATAAGAGAAAAATGATGACTATGAAGCGAGGGCTTATCAACGATATATTAGAAAATAACTCACAATAAAACCACTGTAAATGTAACTCTGGAGAGGGCTAGTATTATCATCAGCATCCTTTGCCAAAATATTTTTTTTTCCAAATAATTTACAGAAGCAAGAGAGAAATGGCTCTTACCACACAGAAATTAAACATGCCAAAAAGCTATAGCAAGAACACATTTGGCAAAACTTTTCAAAATTGACTTGTTGACATTTAGTGTTAAATTTTGGGGGTTGAGATTCCTTTTCTGAAAAGAACATAGGATATGTAACCTCTCCCACTTCAAGAGCTAAAGACTGGGATCTTAACATAGAATAACATAGATCTTAACATTGATCTTAACATAGAATAAAAGGTTTTGAAAGAACTCTGTCTCAGAAAGTAGTGTCTTACCAATTAACTTGTATTATCTGGTCCTCTGCTGCCAGTGAAGTCCAATAGAAAACATTGCTTGATCTCTCACAAAGATAAATTGGACTCTAAATTGTTAGGAGTATTGGGAATATAAGGTTTATGATCACAGAGCAAAAGAGGGTAGGAGGCACATAAGGACACATCTCTGAAGAAGACCTCTTGATCTCAGAAAAATCAATAGGCAAAAGGGACAGAAGATGCAGTTCAATCAATTTATGCTTTATGTGCCCTTCCAGAAGGTCAAATCCACATCAACCTGAAATCAGGTTTTCTTTCTAAAAGAATTGATACTTATTTTCATCAGTTTCCACTTTCAAATAATATATATACTACACTAAAAATTGAGTTTCTTATTGAACACTTACTGTCTGCTTCCAGCAGCTGTCCTCTGCATCATGTAGGTCTCACAGAAGGTATTTTAGAAAAATTATACCATAATTGAAGTTTATGTTAGATAAACTACTACATTAAAAAAAACCCCAACCAAAATCTCCACCTAAAGGAGCACGCACATTTATTTTTTCCCAGCATAACTGAAAAATAGCTTTCTAATTCTGAGTGAATTCTTAACATTAGATTACTCTACAAAATAAAAACAAAACAAACATTTTCTGTCATTTTCAAACTGCTCAAACTTTGTCAGTAGCAGACCGCAAGATGGGTACTTTTTCAGAAATGCTTTCTGGAAGCTAGTACTGCTTCTATGAGCATATAATTTCTATGTGAGATCTGTCCAGTGAAGAAAGAATGACATATTTAGGCATACAAAGGCACAGACACACTTTTCTCTCATTTGAATTTAAAAAATCATTTTTATTAATTTAAAAAAACCCAGATTTAGTCAGAGTAAACCTGTAGTTGTGAAGATTACAAATTACAGTTATTATGTATCCACACTTTCTATGAAAAAATGTTTCCAAAAACATTCCATTCCATGGGAATTAATAAATAATAAACCACAACTTGTTTGTTTAAAATACAGGTAACCAATATAGACATGTTGCACTGTTTATATATTAATTATAAAGTGAAGCTAGATTTTCTATGATCATATTTAAATTTCTCAGTTGAAAACATGCTTTTTAGTTTGATTTACAAAGACCAAAGGGGCAAGTACTAGGAATCTTGCAAATATATACTGTATATATAGTACTTATTCTTTCAGTAAGTGACACAAATGAGTAATTATTTATTTACTTAATAAGAGAATTTTTGCCCTTTCAATCCTATTTTTTCACAGAGCAGTATCAATAAAACATTTTTAGTTACTTTGTTGCAATTCTTTATCTCTAAACTAAATTATCATTGCCTGTAAAAAATTGTTTCCTTTTACTTTGCCACTAATTAATTCTTATCCCCTGCTTCAGTGGGTAGAATTTTTTTCTACTCTATCTAGATTACTTGTTCTCAGACTGTGATTTGTGAGCCATTAATGATCTGTGACCTCTGAGCCTCAAAATAAAATGTTCTGTGAGAAAGAGCTATTTGGGTCTGGGGAGTTGGAGAGCATACTAAGTCTTTTTTCACTAACTGTTGTGCAGAATGAAGAACCTGGAGAACCGCGAGTTTCAAAGATGCATATCTTAATTTTCCATTTTGGGGAAATAACCGGTTTTACTCGTGGATTAGCATGACAATTTACATCTTTTTACTGCAAATATTGTGCAATATTCTGCTTGTGATGTTTGTTACATTTAGTGTATTCTCATTGAATTTTGTATGCGTCTGGCTTGGAGAGATTAGTGAAGACGTGTTAAAAAACCCAGTGTGTTGTTACTGGACTCAGTTTAAACTTATTTTCTGTACTGTAGGCAGGGCTAATTGGTAAGAATGTATTGTTATAAATAGAATAGAGATTGACTCTCTGTTTTCACCCATCAGCCACTGAAAGTAAAATATTTTAAAGTACTTGATTACCATACTGCTTTGTACTACATTTTTGGTGGGTTTAGGGGTTCAGCAATTCTGTTTTCTTAACAGTTAACATTGAACATACCCTTTTTAACCAAAACAAATTATTGGGCCTTAGAAATGTTGATAAAAATATGGTTCTCCTATGTGTCATCTTACACAGAATTATTGCATATTTTAATATTCTAGACTGTGGCATTTTAAAACTAGGATTCCTCTGAATGAAATGTTTTGTGTTTTTTTAGATTTGATGGGTGAACTCTCCACCAAACCATTTTTTAAATGCCTATGGACTCAATTTCATGATGTGCTTCTTCTCTGATGAACACTGATCTCAGAAGGAAATTTTTTTCTCACAGTCTACTTAATAGTTGCTGATGCCCTTTCATTTATCGGTGTACAGAAATTATTTCTAAAAACCTACTTGTTTGTACTGAGCTATAACTATGCATAATAAATACTAACATCAAAGCTGTAGTTTATAAGTTTGGGGACTAATGTAAAATATGGCAAATATTAAAAAAATGTTCCACCTGTGTTGAAGTACTGTTATGAAGTTATGGACTTTGAAAAGCGAGGATATAGGTCATACTTTAGGCTACTATAAATTGGTTTTTTCTACAGTGTATTCTATGTTTATTAGCATTTCCCAATTATATGTCCTACTGAACTTGCCCATTATGGAAGAAGACATTATATAGTCTACTACCAGAAGAGCAGTTCCTGTGGATGATAAATTTCTTGTGTTGGAAGTTGGCCATTGTATCTCCACATATTTTTAAAGCCTATGGTGATATACAGTCAGATTTGTAATAAATTTCAATATTAAATGTATTAAATGATAACATGTTTTTCACTGCAGGTGAAGTGTGATCAATACTGGCCAAGCAGAGGCACAGAAACTTATGGACTAATCCAAGTCACCCTTTTAGACACTGTTGAATTGGCAACGTACTGTGTTCGTACATTTGCACTTCACAAGGTATACATACTTATATATAATTACTATATGCTTTTAAATTGAAAGGCTGGCAGTTTTTTCTCTCACCTCCCATTCCTCCTTCCTTTCTATCACTGGCCTCCCTCCTGTCACCTTGTCCTCCTTCTTCCTTTTGCTTCCTGCCTTACCTGTGCGCCTTTTTCCCTTACTTCCTTATTCCCTTTCTCCCCTTCTCCTCCTTTCTAGCCTTACCCTCGTTTCCTTCTAACAGTGCTGAATATTGAGACTTCTACAGAGTACATGTTCCTGATAATATGAAGTTTTGTAAGTTAATGCAGAGCTCTCACCATGAAAAAGCTGAATACTTGTGGTGCGCAAGTGTACAGTACATTTAAAGATCTTACATTGTTTGAATCTGTAATTAGGATTTTCCTCCATAGTTCTTTTTCTTGCTGGCCCCGAATATTTAATCAATTTTCACTAGTATATATGCTTTAGCAGTTGTTTTACTGAGAAGTGCTAATATAATCTCAAGTAGCACTTTTGTCATGAAACTTTTAAATTTCATAGAATGGCTCAAGTGAGAAAAGGGAAGTGAGGCAATTCCAGTTCACTGCCTGGCCTGACCATGGTGTCCCAGAACACCCAACACCATTCTTGGCTTTCCTGCGACGAGTCAAGACTTGCAACCCACCTGATGCTGGACCTATGGTTGTGCATTGCAGGTAAGCCCAGAAGTTTGCATGGTATCTCAAGGTTCCTGCTTTCTGTTTTGTTGCAGATGAAAATATGATTTTCTTTCAAATAGACTTCTGAGTCTGTCAAAGAAAAAGGTGGTTGCATTGCAAATTAAGTATGCCACTCCCAGCTTGGGTAGGCTAGAATTATTTTATTTGGTCTATGCACAATTAATTTAATTTTAATACGTCAAAAGATCTCCAGGAAGAATGTCTGCAGGAAGAATACAAATGTATCTGTGGCATTCAGAATGTGGCATGAAAAAGGAAGGGGATGGTATTGGTTTAAGAGCCTAAGTATTGAAAAAAGTATGTTTTAAGCAATTAAACACTTTCTGAAATTTTTACTGAATTTATATTGTGTGAGAAAGTAGCAAACATGGGAATTAAGATTGATAAATTCAGGTAAGACCAAAATCTTTATTCAAGGTTGGATCCCCAGTTTAGGACTTTGAGGAGCTGAAAATGCAAAGGATGTAACTGGGGAACAAGCTGAACCCAGTTCCAGGGAAATTAGTTCTCCATGCTTTTTTGCAAAGTAGCACACCTCTTCAGGCATTGTAAGGTATGAATTAGTAACCATGGAAGAAAAAAGTCAGCTGTTTTTTGTGTGTTGGGACTAAGGAAAATGAAGAGGAAGAGATGCAGCTTCTTTGGAATTTGCTGAACAGATCTTTGATAAAGCCTTAAAATCATGTTGATAAGGACATTATCAGAACATATATACCAATTCTGATTGAAATAAACTCCAAGATGTGTTCCCTCATTCCAGGGCTATATTTTCATACATTGTATAGCTTGCTGCGTAGCCCTTTTCAAAGCAAGTTCCTAAGATCACTGTTTCTTGTGAACTTCAGTTTGGAATACCTTCAGTTAGTAAGGCTGAGAGCTGCTATATATGGACCTCTGCAGGTACAGATGCTTAGCATATTTGAAAATCAGTCTTGCTTTTTTCATCCAAAACCTGAGAAACAGTAATTACAGCATACTGCCATGTCTAGTTCTGACTTCTTATATTGGCAACCCATCCATGGACTCTGATAATTTAAACACTTTTTAAGTGATTGAAAGAGTCTCCTGTAAACAATATAATAAAAATAAATTCAACAGGAAAACAAAATAAGCAGAACTTAAATGTTGAAAGGCACAGACTGTTTACAAAATACCAGAGAACATGGAACACAGATATTAAATGTTTATTTAAACACCAGGATTAAAAATGTGGAATAATTATAAATAACAATACAAATATACTCATAAAGCTTGCTGAGTGTTTCTTGAATGGAGAGGCATATTTTTGTACTTGCATTTACAGGGTCTTAAAACATTTTGGTTATTGTGTAGGATTTTAGGTTTCCTCAGATACAACTTCTTTAGCTTCATCCATATATAGCATACTCCAAAGTTGCTCAACAGTGAAGATGCTGTATGCTACCTCAAAACCAAACTTAATAGAAGAAATTAATTTTCCCACTCTGGAAAATCTCTTCATATAATAGCCTAAATTACCACTATGGAAAAGTAGGCAAATTAAATCAGTTTTTATGGCTAGCCATTGGAAAAGATGAAATAAAATGCATTGCTTGTTATCACCCAGTGGTACTGATGAAGGACAAGGCAATTATTTTCCCTTTATCATTAGTTTTGCATGCAGATTTCATTGAAAGTGGTGGTCAAGTTAGGTAGTATGATTTTATGCCCGAGGGACTTTTTTATCCCAAATTCCTATTGATTTATGTATCAATAATTTATCTGCAATAAGCATGATCTGCTATATATAAGCTTTTTGCCTTATGTATACTTGCTAGAGACATTAGGATTCAGTCACTTCATACAACCTAACCTCTAAAAGACAGACTTTCACATATCCTATTATTTTAGTCAGGTTTTTAAATTTGACTCCTAACAATTTGTCTATGAACAGAATTAATGTAACCAGGTTTCTGAAAAACTTTAAAATGTATGTCTCTATAATTAAAACAGGCTGGACATTTAGCATCAAGTGTTCTGGATAGTCCAAAGTTTATTAATCTGCTAATTTACTCCTCCATGTAATGTGTTGACTATCCAACTGATAGACTAATGAAGTAACTAAAGTGTTTCTCACTATAGTCATGTTAATGTGTCACTTTTCAGGCATTCTGTAGCACCATAAAATTCAGGGATTTGTATTGCCTTATCATTTTACATTCAACATGATTTTGTCGGGCCTGTCTTGTGCAGGGACAGGAGTCAGATTTCAGTAATCCCTGTGGGTCCCTTCCAACTCAGGTTATTCTGTGATTCTATGATTATTAAATTGGTTCAAAAAATCAAAAGAGGAACAACTATAGAGCATCGCCACAGTATTTGTAGGCTAAAGGATATGTCTTTCATACAGCAATATGAAAATTCTTCCTATTTAGTTTGAACTTGAAGTACCGGACATGCATAAACATTTCATTTCACATTATAAAAAATGAATTTAAAACAGTTAAGTACAAACTCTGCACATTACCCAGTTTTTAATTAGAATCTGCTTTCCATTTTTTTTCCTTCTCTGTTGCTCACTTCGTAAGTTTCTCCATTCCAATCTTTCCTTTGCCTATTATAAGCCATTTAACACTTTTATCAATTTTTTCTCTCCACATCTGGACTGATCCTTATTCTCTGGGCCCCTCTGAGTATATTCTAATTGTGTCCTTCAATTCCATTGTTTTATCAAACTTATTTCATTGTTTATATCACATTGCTGAACCATTTAATGAAATATGTTCCTACCTTTCTTAGTATTTTCTCTGAAGTAAGATTGTAATTCTAACAGTAATTGTCATTCTAATTTTGCCAAGCATTTTCTTTTACTTTTACTGCCCTCTACTAGTTGCTGTTTTCCATTGAGATATTTTTCTGTTCTTGAAAAACGTCTTTATTTTCATTTATTCCTTTCCTGGCCCCTAGTCTGCCTCTACATCCTTTTTAATATTCCTCCTTGTTCTGTATCTTGTCTGTTATTGTCTCCCATTTTGTGTTTAGGTCTACCTAAATCCCTTTTCATTAAATTTCCCCTTTTCATCATCCAGATTTAAAAAGTACTTAAGACTTTTCTAACTAGAGCCAAACAATACAATACAGAACCATATCTTATATCCTTTGCCTATGGTAGACAGTCTTTTTAACAATATCTCATTGAAGGAGTAATCTGAGTTTAGTTTCTAGAAGGAACACAGGATTTATAGTGGCAATTTTAAGCCATCTGAGACAACACTAATACCTTCTTTTATATTTCTTCCACTAACTACCAAACTATCGGAGCTCAGGAAATTCTAATAATCACATTACAGAAGTATAAACAGAATGGGAGCTTCCTTTCAAAATGTGTTTGATAAAAAGAAAGAGTGGGCTTTAAGAATCGGTGGAAGTCTTTTTCTGCAAACTTTTAAACTATAGAAACTGAAAAACAAAGCTATTGACAGTACAGGGAGAATTTATTTCTCACCCTGTGTGGGTGAGGAACACAAGAGCCACCTGTCTGTGTTTTGATGTTTACAGTTACCCCCTGTTTATTCTGCATTTATAGGTATGTATTGCAAGTGAAAGGTTTAGCCTAGGATTTTCCTTACTCCATTCCTACCCATCTGCCTTAATAATGACGAGCAGTTGTCTTTCAGTCCTTTTCATGTTAAGGGATTAAATGGTTTTCTAGTTTGCTCCATGGTTTTGGGGTACAGCTAAATGTCCAATAGAGAATCAAGGTAGATGGAGACCCAGTTCATGAGTGACCCCAGACAAGCTTGTATCAAAGCCTCATTTGTTGGTTAGCTATTTTAATATCCTGTCCCTAGGAAATGGTTTTTGAATGTGTGAAGAGTTTATTTAACAATTACAGAGCGCTTAATGGGAAGAAGTCTGAGCTGAAAACATCTGATTACTGAAGTACCCACCCAGTACATAATTGAATACGCTCTTTTCACATAACAGTGACCAAAAAAACATAGTTCTATCTAGTGAAATTAACTGAGAATGTACATACTACCATTCTACATTACTAAGCTTGATGATTTCTGATAAATGCATGTCAAAGATATGCAAATGGAAATATTTTTAATAATGTTTGTGTGATAATAGCAAAGAAATACAGAATTATATAATCAGAATTTCCAAAATATTGGTAATTATTTATTACTAATGTATATGCAACAGGCCTCTTTGCTTGTCATTTAGACATCTGCTTTTGATAACAGTTTGATTGCCTGTACAGTATTGAATTTGAATCTAATGTTGAAGTCAAAAATATGTTGAGAATTTCATGAGGACATTCTACCAGTCAAAGCCCTACTTGTTGCTGTGGTTTAACCTCTGCCAGCAGCCAAGCCCCACACAACTGCTTACTCACTCCCATAGCAGAGGGATGGGAAGAGAATCAAAAGAGTAAAAGCTGGAAAACTCATGGGCTGAGATAAAAGCAGTTTAGTAGGGAAAGAAAACGCTGCACACACAAGCAAAGCAAAACAAGGAATTCAGTCATTTATTCAGTGCTTCCCATGAGCAGGCAGGTGTTCAGCCATCTCCAGGAGAGCATCACTCATAATGATGACCTGGGAAAACAAATGCCATCAATCCAAAAGTCTCTCCCTTCGTTCTTCTTCACCCCTCTTTATATGTTAAACATGATGCCATATGGTCTGGAACATCCCTTTTGGTCAGTTTGAGTTACCTGTGTCTCCTCCCAACCTTCCATGCACACCCACCTTCCCTGAGCTCCTGCACCACACACTGAAACAGAGGCAAGAAGTCTGGGTGGAAAATAAGTTGTAGTCCAGCCAAAACCAGCACACTTGTGCAGAAAGGTTGGCAGGATTTTTACTGGAAAAGGTAGCTAAAACATATTCACAAAATTAACAGGTATGTTAATTTTAAGGGGAAAAAGATAATTCTTTCAGCAATAGATCATTGCTGAAAGAATTATGGAACACCAAGGGAAACATCAAGGCCTAATGTAAATGCAGATT